GTAAGATTAGGGTTCTGCCAGGCACCCTCCCCCCCACAAACAGAGTACCCACTATGCTGACTCTGGGGCCCTCTTTCCGGACCCGGAGACCACTCACTTTATGACTTGGTCTTGCGCTGTGTCACCCCGGTCATTGTAAGGAGGGGTGTCTCCAGATGGAAAAAACACTCTGATGGCATCAGCCCTGATGGATGGTGGACACGACCTGCGAATGATGGACAGCGTGACTGCTGGACCCATTGCCCAGAACTGTGGCCCAGGGATTGTGTCTGCTTCATTCCTCGAGTCAGGCTAAGTGGCTCCAAAAGTGCATGCACATTGTCGAGTAAAGAAACTCCAACCAGAAGCATGCCATACATCTGAGTGGGCCTGGGCCCCTGCTCTCCCCAGAAATCCCCAGTGTGGCTACACCAAGGACCAGGACCGGCTAGGTGACATCTCACACTGCTTAACAGGTTGCTTTCCATGTGCTTTTCCACCCTCCGATGCCACAGGCCACTGATGGGTGTGTCAGAGTTCTTTCCGTGGGACAGAGTGAAAGAATTGCCACCAACAACCGCCGCACGTCCAGCTACCCTGTCTGCAGAGCCAGGGAGCAGGTGAGACCTGCCATGGCTTGTCCCCATAGCAGTGCTATGAGGTTGACCAAGCAGCAGCCCACATTTCAGAGGAGCATCCTGAGACTCGGGAAGATGTGGTGACGTTTCAGCCTCAGAGCTAGCAGTGGGCAGAGTCACGAGTGTGTGCTCACCTAGTGAAAAGCTCGTCCAGGAACGCTGGGCTCTGGAGAGGGCCAGCGTGGAGACATGGGGGACGATTCCCCCGGGAAAGCTGGTACCATGGCCATGGCCACCTTCTCCGAGGTGCCTTCCTGGAGGGCCCGCATCCTGCAGGACTCATGCAGGTTACCAGTTTGCTCAGCTACACACTGGGTGGGAGAAGGAAGGACATCCATGTCAGCGGCATGACCGTGAATCCCACAAGGATGGAGGATTGGAGCTCGCTCGGGAGGTCCCAGCCCCACTAGGACGTGTGCAAGTGGCGGGTCAGGAGTGCCCCGCTGGACCGGGTTCTCGGTCTTCAAAGTGCCACTGCAGTTCCGTGCATGTTCATACAATTGACACCTTCTCGGCATGTTTTTTTCTTCCCCCTTCCCTTTAGCTGAGGATCAACAAACCTCCTTGTAGGAATAGTTTAAATGAAGAGCCCGGGCCCTGTGAGTCCTCAAGAAACGTCCTCGTTATACAGATGAGGACACAGAGGCTTAGGAAATATCAAATGTCTGCTCAAGGCATGCAGGTCAGAACGGGGAACTGTCCTGCATGACATTCCCTGTCAGGTACCCGAGACTTACCTGCTACTGACATGGGTGGAAAGGGTGTGGGAACCTTGTCGTTCCCCAGCGTGGAAACAGTGTACAGGGTAGATATGGCCTATGAATGCCTTTGACTTCAAAAGAGAAAGTTATGTTTTATCCTTTTACAGGAAAGGGCATTTTAAGACCCTCATTATGGAGATCGCAGATTCCGCAAGGTGGCAAATGCCTGGAGACTGCAGATGGGAGAAAGGCGATCAGGGGGCAGGAATCTGACCAGAGGACTCGGGGAGGAGGAGCTAATCCATGTGGTGGGTGAAAAGTGACAGGTGCCTCACTGTCCCCCTGAGGCCATTGCCAGGGAAGGAACACTGTGTTTGAGTTGGACAACTTGACGTCGGCCAGGTGAAAATTTCAATGAGTGAGATTTCCCGGGCCAGGCTGGGAGCAAGGCAGCAGCCATCATCAGAAACTGCTGTTGGCAACGTCCCTGCCACAGCCCTTTGGGTTTGGAATCTGCCTGCAGCCGTTCAAATTGTACATGTGCTCGTCCTTCCACCAGCAGTGGGCGTCCATCAGCCAGCCGGGGACATTCCATGTACTGTGCTCTGACTCGTGTACCCCTAATCCCATGACTTTGCAACCCCTAGAACTTGATCATGTGTCTGCATTTGAGTTTTAGTCTTCAAGCAAGTCATTCGGGTGACGTGAATTTAGTGGTGTGGGTCTTCATCTAATCTGAACAGTGTCCTTAGAAGAGGAGGGGAGGGCACGTGGCAGTGCAGAGGGGAGTCCATGTGACACACAGAGAGAAGACAGCCATCTACAAGCTGAGGAGCAACGCCCTCAGGAGATACCAGCCCCGCTGACAGCACCACCTCTCACTTCTAGCCTCCGGAATTGTGAGAAAATGAATGTCTGCTGTGAACACCACCCAGTGTGGTCCTATGTTATGGCAGCCCAAGCAAGCAGCCTAACACAGTCCATTCCAACACACATCAGTGTTCCGGGCAGCACTGCTGACATGGCAGCTGAACTGCATTAGGCCCATGTCCAACAGCACTGAAAGGCTGCATCGCTGGGCAAACGACCTCCCCATTGGACCAGGTCTGCAAGGACAGTGGAGCTGAGTGCTCCAGAGGATACGTGGCAAGTGTAGGTTAAGCAACACAAACAGCGAAAGGCCGGAGTGCTCATGGTCCACTGTGAAGTCAGACAACATTTCTGTCTCTGATATTTCTACAAATATGTGAGGAGCGTCTCTCTACCGTCCCCTGTAGCTGGAGGGGGCGTGGGGATCCGCATTTCTTTTTCTTGGGGCTGTGGGACACTATGGAGAGTCCTGGGAGGGTGCCCGGGGAGTCCCCAGATTTGAGTGTGGGTTGCGGGCAATGCCAGGTGGTGTTGGGCTTATGGGTGTAGAGACCCTCAAGGCCAGCACTCACCTCAGACAGGCACTGGTCTGTGTCTTCAGCCTGGTGCACCTGCACCCTGACCCCGTAGGTGGTGTAGTTGGGTCCATGGGCCAGCACCTCAATGATGTCCTCCTTGGAGCTCTGCTAAGACAGAGTGGGTACTGAGCCAGGAGGCATCAGGAACCTTCCACCCAATCTGTGGTCCTGTGTCATGGCAGACGTAGTCTATGAGGACACAGTGAGGATGTTCCTGGCAACCCTGCTGAGCTAGCAAGAATTGATTTGTGTCAAGGTGTAGCCACAGGGAAAGCCTGAATCACTGATGCGAAATCTGTCCTTGTTGGGATGATATGGAGTTGGGTAAGGCCAGAGCTCCTGACCTGGCTGCCCTGCAATGGTTTGTCGTCCTCTGTCTGAGGTGATAGGTTGCACAGAATAGTATTCCACACCTTAATCCTTTCCTACGCCCCTAACCCCCCCCACCACCCTCCCGCTTCCCCCCTCTTTTCTTTCTTTTTTTTAATACACAGCATTCTCCAGTTGGATGATGTGTAAGGCTTGGAGAGGTCTACAAGGACAGTCGGGCTGGGGCTGGTCCACAGGATACTTGGGGATGGGAGTTCATCAGTTGAAAGGAGCATGAGGCAAAGACAGCAACAAATGCTTCCTCTCTGATCCCAACAAGCACTTGAAGAAAGACTGCTTTTCTCCCCTACAAGGGACCTGGTCAGGAGGATTGAAGGTACAGATCAGTTTGGGAGTGGGCCTGTGAGAACTTTGAGGCCCCAGATTTGAGCCTGACTTCTGGTCCCACCCCAGTCACCTCAGGGTCCTGGGTGTGGGCCAGCTCTCACCTCAGTTTGGCACTGGACGGTTTCCCTGTCCTGACGCACTTGTCCTCTGTACCCGTTGAGGGCATAAGTGAACCTGTCAGCCAGCTCCTCTACGCTGCCCTTGTTGGAGCTCTGCAAAGACACAGCCCGATACCAGGCCAGGAAGCATCAGGGGCCCGGGCATTACAGTGGGGAAGATGCCCATCACCCACTCTGCTCCCCAGATCAGGCAGAGAGGGGCATCTGCAAAGACCTCCAGGCAGGGAGTGAAGTTGATGACCGCTTGAGCACCCCTGCCATTCACAAGTGGGTAGCGGAGCTCCGACCCCAGCACTCAGCTTCCCTTCCTGTGAGCCATGACCTGGGCAGTGAACATGACACACCCTCCTACACCCTCCAGGCTTCTGACACTTACCAACCCGCTCCTGAGCCCGGGATGAGCATCCCTCATCCCCCGCTATGTTCCCCTCACCATTCTGGGGACACACACACACACACATACACCCCCCCACACACACACTCACACCCCAATGGGATGAGTGGTAAGAGGTGTGGGGCTAACCCCTGGTGTGACCCCCAGTTGGCGCCCAAGTTTGACCTGAAAGGGCCTGGCCTCGGTTACCTGTGTGTGCCTCGTGCCAGAGGGCGAGGGGTATCGGTGGTGGCGCTTGCGCCTGTTTCTGCAGCAAGAGAAACATCTCTCACCCTGGGCTTTCTTCTGCCCAGGGCGTCGGAAGCACGGGAAGCAAAAGAGACACATCCTGGTCTCCTGACCTTCTCCACTCAAGTGACCTGGAAAGGCAGTTGTCTCTAGAATGTGGGTACCTGGTTACCACGGTGCCCATTTCTGTTGGGGTTCTGTCCCCAGGGAAGTGAGGTCACCCCTTCAAGGTTCCATGAGCTGTGCCCCTTCCTCCAATCAGAGCCACCGGAAGGCCCCTCAGGGCTGCTGACCTCTCACCTTCTGGCCCATGTTATCTCCATACCTGTATACAAGCATCCAACACAGCCCTCCCCCCGAGCGCCCTGGGAAGAACAAGAAATGAGTCCCAAATCCTTAGCGTGTCCGTCCAGGCCCTCCATCATCTGACCTTAGCTTCTTTGGCAGTCTTGTCTCTCCCTCACCCCATTTCTGTGGTCACACTTTGAGATGCTCATTGGCATCACACTCTCCCAGCCCAGCTTAGAGCTGTGCCATGCCCTGTGTCGCCGGTTTGGGGGAGAAAGCCGAGTTCACACCTCCTTTTTCTTAGGTGTTCTGTGCCCTTGGGGAAGCCTCTGTGCCTCTCAGGGCCTCCCCCAGGCTCCCAAACTGCCCTGTGAGGATGATGCTAGACACCATTTCCATAGGAAGTCATCAGGTGCAGATGGGACAAGGCCCCGAACAGCTGTGGGCTGGTGTCCCATGAATCTGGTCCACAAACATAGAGGTGGAAGATGACAAGAAGGAGTGGGACACAGCATGAGACACTAGACAAAAGCGCCCTGGGCCCAGCCCGTGATCTCAGGGAAGTCACTGCTCATGTGGGCCTCATTTTCAAGTCTGTACCTTTAAGGGTTGGAAATGACAGGAAATTCCGATATGGTCACTCACTGGCCTACAACCTCACCGTGGTCTCTTGTTAAACTTAGCCTCGGACAAGTGCCTCATGTGGGCCCAAGCGTTAGGGGCCTTCACAGTGGCTTCGAGGGAGTCCAGCCTCCTGGTGGGAACATCCTTGTGTGTCCTCTGAGTGCTCAGTAACTGGCTTCTGAACAACATAGAGGACGGCCCAGCTGATGGGGTGTCAGGTCCTGTCACTTGTCTTGTACTCTCGTTCTTGAGGTCCCTTCCTTCCTCTCAGCCTCTCTCTCGCTTGCTCTGTGTGTGTGCGTCTCTGTCTGTGCCACTGACCTGTTGTTCTGTCTTGAAGCTGAGTCCACACCCTTTTGCTTACCACTTTAGTACACCTTGGTTTTGGTAAGTTCTCCACTTTGTTCTGAGAGTGTCTTGGTCGGAGAAAAGATACGGCATATTGTGCTACTTTATTGTAACTTCTAGACATAACCTGTCAAGTCCCATGAGTGGGATAGATTTCAACCTTGACATCCTGATACAACGATTCTAGTGTGAAGCCATCAAGGTTAGCACCAAGAGTACTAAGCCACATTGACTTCAGGGCCCCCGGATACCAGGTGTTCTCTGTGACCTGTCAACCTCCTGTATCGCCGGGTCCCTAAGCATTCTCTGCCAGCAGCCCGAAGGATCTTTTGAAAATGTAAATATAATCCTGTCTCTTATGAAAACTAACAGTGGTCTCCGATGGCCTTTAGAAATGAGTCCCTAATCCTTAGCGTGTCCTTCCAGGCCCTCCATGATCTGACCTTAGCTTCTTTTGCAGTCTTGTCTCTCCCTCACCCCTTTTCTGTGGTCACACTTGGAGATCCTGATTGGCATCACACTCTCCCAGCCCAGCTTAGAGCTGTGCCATGCCCTGTGTCCCAACGTCTCCCTCTGGAGTGGGCGGAAGTCTGGTGTTCTTTCAGGCACCTCCCCTCTTTCCCCTGTCCTGCTCTCTGCTCCCATAGTTTATTGTTTTTGTTTTCGTTTTTGTTGTTGTTGTTGTTGTTGTTTCCAGTACCATGCAATGCTACAACCTTGTCCACCCTCGGGAGGGTTAAGGATCTCATTCAGTGTGGAAGCTGAGAATCATAGGCAGCAGAATAGTGATGAAGCTAACAGTAGGGATTTGTCTTTGTCACAAAATCACAAGTGCACAGGTAGGTGGATCCAATATTGAATTCAGGTGCTCAATGATGTCAGGGTAAGCTCCCAGCATCAACGAGAGGAAAAAATCCTCTCTTCGCTCTTGTGCTTTATATCAGGGAGGAAAAGAGTGTCTCAGAAATCAACTATGAGACTCTTGCGTGAACCCTTGGGCAGATCAGGCCAAATTGCAAGGGACATGGGGCAGTTTCATGTCCAACTGGTCCTGAAGGAGGTGCCTCAGCCCAGGAGGAGGTGGTGAGGGGGAAGGGCAGTGGGGATGTGTCTGATGGTGAGCTTCCTGTTTCTACTGGGATCACTAATGGCCCCGTACATTTCTTCTGTGTGGACTTGTGGAGGAAAGGTGACCCGAGATTCAGGGATGACAGTTTCTTCACAACGGTTTCCTAGTGTCTTGAAGTTCCCTGTCTCATAGGGTCTTCATTATCCACATATAACTTGTTAGACGTATATGTTTTTATTGATCTCAGAGAGAGGAAGGGAAAGGGAACAAAGATAGCGGGAGAGAGGTGGAAAGAGTGAGGGGGGGGAGAGGAGGCTGGGGAAGGGGAGAGAGAAACATCAATGATGAGAGAACATCATCGGTCACATATCCCCTAGCGCGCAACCACGGTACGGGCCGTGACTGGGAATGAAACGGGGATCCCTTGGTTCTGGGGTCGACGCTCCAGCACTGAGCCATGCCAGCCCGGCAGCCACATATCACTTTAAAATGAAATTTTTATTAATTCAAATTTAGTAAGACTTAAAATTCAGGGAGACATTTAGGTGTCTCTTGTTGGATACCTGAGGAGTGTTGTTTTGGTGTATTGACCAGCTGGTTTGCCTTGAAAGCAAATATGAAATGAAAGAAAGGAAATGTGTCTCCCCTCAGAGCAAGAGTGTTCTCATGAGAACGATGAGCTTTGGATGGTTGGGCCACCGCACTGAATGGATCCGTCTTGCACAGCGTGCCTCCTTTTGCAATACTCACCAGTGGCATTCCTTTGTCCTTTTCTGCTTAGAATTTTCTGACATGATGGTTTTCATTTAATTATAGATTGTTGCAGTGGTGGTGTCAGTGAACTATGGCCCTTCCGGTAGAACCAGGGCTGTGTACCTTGTTTCCGTACCGTCCTGTTCCAGTGGAACCATTGCCTCTTCCTAAGCTGAGTTTGACTGGTGAGTTAAATTCTGGGCTCATGGAGGCAGGGAAATGATTAAGGAAGTGTTTAGTGGAGGGAGTTGTGTTGAGTTACTCCTGTTGCAACCAAAGCAATGGTCTTGCGCTTCCTAGTGATTTTAAATACGGTTAAGACCTAGCGTAGTGGTTGTTTCTGGCCAAATAGCAAATCCAGCTAAACAAGGAGGGAAGTAGGATGCCCCCCATTAAGTCAATTTTCCTTTCATGACACCATTGCAAGATACAAATTGGCACTTGGGAAAGTTTCGAAAGATTTGATTGAGTCTGGCCAGTGTCGCCCAGTGGTCGAACCGGGTAGGAGTGCACAGTTGGTTTGATTCCGGGTCAGGGCACAGGCCCGGGTTGCAGACTGGATCACCAATAGGGGTCGTGAAGGAGGCAACCGATCAATGCTTCTGTCTCATCGTTTACGTTTCTGTCTCGCCCTTTCTAACTCCCTGAAGTCAAAAAAGTGCATTTTTAAAATATTGATTTAGTCTACCCCGGCTGATGTGGCTCATTAGATGGGCATTCTCCCCTTGCACTGAAAGGTTTCCGGATCAGTCCCAGGGAGGGCACATGGCAGGGTTCTGCGGTTATTTCCATGTCCGGAGTGGGCAGGAGGGGGCTGATGCGCCTCTCCTCTATGTTTCTCTGCCTCTCCCTTCCTCTCTCTACTGTCTATCTGTCTATTGGAGGTATGATCCTTGTGTCAACCAGAACCTATACATAAAGCAAAATGAGAAGAAGCTGTCACTTCTAGTAGTTTCACTTCTGACAGTTCAGTAGTGTTAACATTTTGGTGTATATTTATCCAGATTTTATTTCCCCATTTTATCAGTGTATACATAGTAATCAGAAAAAGATTAAATGTTTCAAAACTTACAGTGAGCATCCTATACAGTGAGCATCCTTCCATGTCAGCATATATGGGTACATGTGTGTGTGTGTGTGTGTGTGTGTGTGTGTCTGTATGGGTATAGGTACAAGAGTAGACATGGTATCCACGTGTTTTTAATCAGCAATTTTTTATTCAAAAAGAGTATCTACATAATGGGAAATAGTTTTAGAAATTATCATTATTTACTATTGAAAATGTACAGTTGGGATGTATTCCTCTGAATTATTTAAGATAATCGCCTAGAACTCTTCTGACAGCAAGAGAGAAGGCTTCCAGCACAGCCAGTAGGTGGCTCCATAATGGCTTCAGGTACTGCCTCGGGCGAGGCCAGGCCAGGGCAGGGCCTGTCCTTGGACCAGGCTCTGGCCCCTGAGCGGGCCCTTTCTCTGTCTCGGGAGTGCTCTGGAGCTCAGGGCGTGGACCTGGAGCAGGAGAGAGAGACAGATTGACTCACACACCTGGCTTTTCTGTGACTTTGCGCAGACAGGCAAGAGGCCCACCGCCTTTAAGGGAGCTCCAGCCCGTGAGCCTGCCCTCCCCAGATGATCTGCCCAGATGATCTGTGCCCCTCACCTTGTGGAGTTGCCTCGGTGGGCTCCAGATGCTGCAGCTCCAACCATTGATTTTGGGCGTGGCCCACCAGGTGTGAGGCAGGGGAGTTGACAGGCACCAAGGCCTGCTCTGCCTCGAAACAGGCGATAGGAAGGGGCTGTCCCAAACCCTGGACCTGGTCCAGCCAGGTCCCCACCATCGCAGCAAAGGCCCTGGGGAGAGGCAGGTGGGCAGCAGAGTCTGAGTCCTGGTCTTTCCTTCCGCTCTGCCCTCCCATGGCACAATTGCTTAGATCGGAGCCCTGTGCAGGCCCCCCTTGCCCACCCAGGGCACAGCCCCATGCCACCCCCGGCCCCTGTGTGGCTGTCCTGGTTGTAGCAGGTGTGGGACCCATGTCCAGCAGGTTCAACACGGAGTCTGTGTGAGACTCTTCTTCCCACTGGCGGCTCTCCTGAAGGTCCAGTGCACTGCCCAGCCCCACCCTCCAGGCCCTGGGCATCTGGGCTGAGGACTGAGACAGACTTGTGAGCAGCCTGCTCACCACAGTCCTATTCTGAGCCTGGCCACGGTGGTCAGGGGAGATGGATATGGAGAGGGGCAGGCAGCGCGGGGTGGGTCTCTAGGGGGAGGGGACTCTGAGGGACAACTCAGCCCAGCGTCCCCTCTGGGTCTACAAGGCCCGGGACCCCACCCACTGTCGTCTTTGACTCCTGTCCTCCTGGAATAGAAGACTCCAGAGCTCAGGCCTTTCTTGGGAATCAGATGATGTGTAAGATTAGGGTTCTGCCAGGCACCCTCCCCCCCACAAACAGAGTACCCACTATGCTGACTCTGGGGGCCCTCTTTCCGGACCCGGAGACCACTCACTTTATGACTTGGTCTTGCGCTGTGTCACCCCGGTCATTGTAAGGAGGGGTGCCTCCAGATGGAGAAAACGCTCTGATGGCATCAGCCCTGATGGATGGTGGACACGACCTGCGAATGATGGACAGCGTGACTGCTGGACCCATTGCCCAGAACTGTGGCCCAGGGATTGTGTCTGCTTCATTCCTCGAGTCAGGCTAAGTGGCTCCAAAAGTGCATGCACATTGTCGAGTAAAGAAACTCCAACCAGAAGCATGCCATACATCTGAGTGGGCCTGGGCCCCTGCTCTCCCCAGAAATCCCCAGTGTGGCTACACCAAGGACCAGGACCGGCTAGGTGACATCTCACACTGCTTAACAGGTTGCTTTCCATGTGCTTTTCCACCCTCCGATGCCACAGGCCACTGATGGGTGTGTCAGAGTTCTTTCCGTGGGACAGAGTGAAAGAATTGCCACCAACAACCGCCGCACGTCCAGCTACCCTGTCTGCAGAGCCAGGGAGCAGGTGAGACCTGCCATGGCTTGTCCCCATAGCAGTGCTATGAGGTTGACCAAGCAGCAGCCCACATTTCAGAGGAGCATCCTGAGACTCGGGAAGATGTGGTGACGTTTCAGCCTCAGAGCTAGCAGTGGGCAGAGTCACGAGTGTGTGCTCACCTAGTGAAAAGCTCGTCCAGGAACCGCTGGGCTCTGGAGAGGGCCAGCGTGGAGACATGGGGGATGATTCCCCCCGGGAAAGCTGGTACCATGGCCATGGCCACCTTCTCCGAGGTGCCTTCCTGGAGGGCCCGCATCCTGCAGGACTCATGCAGGTTACCAGTTTGCTCAGCTACACACTGGGTGGGAGAAGGAAGGACATCCATGTCAGCGGCATGACCGTGAATCCCACAAGGATGGAGGATTGGAGCTCGCTCGGGAGGTCCCAGCCCCACTAGGACGTGTGCAAGTGGCGGGTCAGGAGTGCCCCGCTGGACAGGGTTCTCGGTCTTCAAAGTGCCACTGCAGTTCCGTGCATGTTCATACAATTGACACCTTCTCGGCATGTTTTTTCCTTCCCCCCTTCCCTTTAGCTGAGGATCAACAAACCTCCTTGTAGGAATAGTTTAAATGAAGAGCCCGGGCCCTGTGAGTCCTCAAGAAACGTCCTCGTTATACAGATGAGGACACAGAGGCTTAGGAAATATCAAATGTCTGCTCAAGGGCATTCAGGTCAGAACTGGGAACTGTGCTGCATGACATTCCCTGTCAGGTACCCGAGACTTACCTGCTACTGACATGGGTGGAAAGGGTGTGGGAACCTTGTCGTTCCCCAGCGTGGAAACAGTGTACAGGGTAGATATGGCCTATGAATGCCTTTGACTTCAAAAGAGAAAGTTATGTTTTATCCTTTTACAGGAAAGGGAATTTTAAGACCCTCATTATGGAGATCGCAAGGTGGCAAATGCCTGGAGACTGCAGATGGGAGAAAGGCGATCACGGGGCAGGAATCTGACCAGAGGACTCGGGGAGGAGGAACTAATCCATGTGGTGGGTGAAAAGTGACAGGTGCCTCACTGTCCCCCTGAGGCCATTGCCAGGGAAGGAACACTGTGTTTGAGTTGGACAACTTGACGTCGGCCAGGTGAAAATTTCAATGAGTGAGATTTCCCGGGCCAGGCTGGGAGCAAGGCAGCAGCCATCATCAGAAACTGCTGTTGGCAACGTCCCTGCCACAGCCCTTTGGGTTTGGAATCTGCCTGCAGCCGTTCAAATTGTACATGTGCTCGTCCTTCCACCAGCAGTGGGCGTCCATCAGCCAGCCGGGACATTACATGTGCTGTGCTCTGATTCGTGTACCCCTAATCCCATGACTTTGCACCCCTAGAACTTGATCATGTGTCTGCATTTGAGTTTTAGTCTTCAAGCAAGTCATTCGGGTGACGTGAATTTAGTGGTGTGGGTCTTCATCTAATCTGAACAGTGTCCTTAGAAGAGGAGGGGAGGGCACGTGGCAGTGCAGAGGGGAGTCCATGTGACACACAGAGAGAAGACAGCCATCTACAAGCTGAGGAGCAACGCCCTCAGGAGATACCAGCCCCGCTGACAGCACCACCTCTCACTTCTAGCTCCGGAATTGTGAGAAAATGAATGTCTGCTGTGAACACCACCCAGTGTGGTCCTATGTTATGGCAGCCCAAGCAAGCAACCTAGCACAGTCCATTCCGACACACATCAGTGTTCTGGGCAGCACTGCTGACATGGCAGCTGAACTGCATTAGGCCCATGTCCAACGCCACTGAAAGGCTGCATCGCTGGGCAAACGACCTCCCCGATTGGACCAGGTCTGCAAGGACAGTGGAGCTGAGTGCTCCAGAGGATACGTGGCAAGTGTAGGTTAAGCAACACAAACAGCGAAAGGCCGGAGTGCTCATGGTCCACTGTGAAGTCAGACAACATTTCTGTCTCAGATATTTCTACAAATATGTGAGGAGCGTCTCTCTACCGTCCCCTGTAGCTGGAGGGGGGCGTGGGGATCCGCATTTCTTTTTCTTGGGGCTGTGGGACACTATGGAGAGTCCTGGGAGGGTGCCCGGGGAGTCCCCAGATTTGAGTGTGGGTTGCGGGCAATGCCAGGTGGTGTTGGGCTTATGGGTGTAGAGACCCTCAAGGCCAGCACTCACCTCAGACAGGCACTGGTCTGTGTCTTCAGCCTGGTGCACCTGCACCCTGACCCCGTAGGTGGTGTAGTCGGGTCCATTGGCCAGCACCTCAATGATGTCCTCCTTGGAGCTCTGCTAAGACAGAGTGGGTACTGAGCCAGGAGGCATGAGGAACCTTCCACCCAATCTGTGGTCCTGTGTCATGGCAGACGTAGTCTATGAGGACACAGTGAGGATGTTCCTGGCAACCCTGCTGAGCTAGCAAGAATTGATTTGTGTCAAGGTGTAGCCACAGGGAAAGCCTGAATCACTGATGCGAAATCTGTCCTTGTTGGGATGATATGGAGTTGGGTAAGGCCAGAGCTCCTGACCTGGCTGCCCTGCAATGGTTTGTCGTCCTCTGTCTGAGGTGATAGGTTGCACAGAATAGTATTCCACACCTTAATCCTTTCCTACGCCCCAAACCCCCCCCCACCCTCTCGCTCTTTCTTTTTTTCTTTTCTTTTTTTTTAATACACAGCATTCTCCAGTTGGATGATGTGTAAGGCTTGGAGAAGGTCTACAAGGACAGTCGGGCTGGGGCTGGTCCACAGGATACTTGGGGAAGGGAGTTCATCAGTTGAAAGGAGCATGAGGCAAAGACAGCAACAAATGCTTCCTCTCTGATCCCAACAAGCACTTGAAGAAAGACTGCTTTTCTCCCCTACAAGGGACCTGGTCAGGAGGATTGAAGGTACAGATCACTTTGGGAGTGGGCCTGTGAGAACTTTGAGGCCCCAGATTTGAGCCTGACTTCTGGTCCCACCCCAGTCACCTCAGGGTCCTGGGTGTGGGCCAGCTCTCACCTCAGTTTGGCACTGGACGGTTTCCCTGTCCTGACGCACTTGTCCTTTGTACCCGTTGAGGGCATAAGTGAACCTGTCAGCCAGCTCCTCTACGCTGCCCTCGTTGGAGCTCTGCAAAGACACAGCCCGATACCAGGCCAGGAAGCATCAGGGGCCCGGGCATTACAGTGGGGAAGATGCCCATCACCCACTCTGCTCCCCAGATCAGGCAGAGAGGGGCATCTGCAAAGACCTCCAGGCAGGGAGTGAAGTTGATGACCGCTTGAGCACCCCTGCCATTCACAAGTGGGTAGCGGAGCTCCGACCCCAGCACTCAGCTTCCCTTCCTGTGAGCCATGACCTGGGCAGTGAACATGACACACCCTCCTACACCCTACAGGCTTCTGACACTTACCCCCCGCTATCTTCCCCTCACCATTCTGGGGACACACGACACACACACACACACACACACACCCACACACACACACTCACACACCCCCACACACACACACTCACACCCGGGGCTAACCCCTGGTGTGACCCCCAGTTGGCGCCCAAGTTTGACCTGATACGGCCTGAAGTTTGACCTGTGTGTGCCTCGTGCCAGAGGGCGAGGGGTATCGGTGGTGGCGCTTGCGCCTGTTTCTGCAGCAAGAGAAACATCTCTCACCCTGGGCTTTCTTCTGCCCAGGGCGTCGGAAGCACGGGAAGCAAAAGAGACACATCCTGGTCTCCTGACCTTCTCCACTCAAGTGACCTGGAAAGGCAGTTGTGTCTAGAATGTGGGTACCTGGTTACCACGGTGCCCATTTCTGTTGGGGATCTGTCCCCAGGGAAGTGAGGTCACCCCTTCAAGGTTCCATGAGCTGTGCCCCTTCCTCCAATCAGAGCCACCGGAAGGCCCCTCAGGGCTGCTGACCTCTCACCTTCTGGCCCATGTTATCTCCATACCTGTATACAAGCATCCAACACAGCCCTCCCCCCGAGCTCCCTGGGAAGAACAAGAAATGAGTCCCAAATCCTTAGCGTGTCCGTCCAGGCCCTCCATGATCTGACCTTAGCTTCTTTGGCAGTCTTGTCTCTCCCCCCCCATTTCTGTGGTCACACTTTGAGATGCTCATTGGCATCACACTCTCCCAGCCCAGCTTAGAGCTGTGCCATGCCCTGTGTCGCCGGTTTGGGGGAGAAAGCCGAGTTCACACCTCCTTTTTCTTAGGTGTTCTGTGCCCTGGGGGAAGCCTCTGTGCCTCTCAGGGCCTCCCCCAGGCTCCCAAACTGCCCTGTGAGGATGATGCTAGACACCATTTCCATAGGAAGTCATCAGGTGCAGATGGACAAGGCCCCGAACAATTGTGGGCTGGTGTCCCATGAATCTGGTACACAAACATAGAGGTGGAAGATGACAAGAAGGAGTGGGACACAGCATGAGACACTAGACAAAAGCGCCCTGGGCCCAGCCCGTGATCTCAGGGAAGTCACTGCTCATGTGGGCCTCATTTTCAAGTCTGTACCTTTAAGGGTTGGAAATGACAGGAAATTCCGATATGGTCACTCACTGCCCTCAACCTCACCGTGTTCTCTTGTTAAACTTAGCCTCGGACAAGTGCCTCATGTGGGCCCAAGCGTTAGGGGCCTTCACAGTGGCTTCGAGGGAGTCCAGCCTCCTGGTGGGAACATCCTTGTGTGTCCTCTGAGTGCTCAGTAACTGGCTTCTGAACAACATAGAGGACGGCCCAGCTGATGGGGTGTCAGGTCCTGTCACTTGTCTTGTACTCTCGTTCTTGAGGTCCCTTCCTTCCTCTCAGCCTCTCTCTCGCTTGCTCTGTGTGTGTGCGTCTCTGTCTGTGCCACTGACCTGTTGTTCTGTCTTGAAGCTGAGTCCACACCCTTTTGCTTACCACTTTAGTACACCTTGGTTTTGGTAAGTTCTCCACTTTGTTCTGAGAGTGTCTTGGTCGGAGAAAAGATACGGCATATTGTGCTACTTTATTGTAACTTCTAGACATAACCTGTCAAGTCCCATGAGTGGGATAGATTTCAACCTTGACATCCTGATACAACGATTCTAGTGTGAAGCCATCAAGGTTAGCACCAAAAGTACTAAGCCACATTGACTTCAGGGCCCCCGGATACCAGGTGTTCTCTGTGACCTGTCAACCTCATGTATCGCCGGGTCCCTAAGCATTCTCTGCCAGCAGCCCGAAGGATCTTTTGAAAATGTAAATATAATCCTGTCTCTTATGAAAACTAACAGTGGTCTCCGATGGCCTTTAGAAATGAGTCCCTAATCCTTAGCGTGTCCTTCCAGGCCCTCCATGATCTGACCTTAGCTTCTTTTGCAGTCTTGTCTCTCCCTCACCCCTTTTCTGTGGTCACACTTGGAGATCCTGATTGGCATCACACTCTCCCAGCCCAGCTTAGAGCTGTGCCATGCCCTGTGTCCCAGCTTCTCCCTCTGGAGTGAAGTCTGGTGTTCTTTCAGGCACCTCCCCTCTTTCCCCTGTCCTGCTCCCATAGTTTATTGTTTATTGTTTTTGTTTTCGTTGTTGTTGTTGTTGTTTCCAGTACCATGCAATGCTACAACCTGTCCACCCTCGGGAGTGTTAAGGATCTCATTCAGTGTGGAAGCTGAGAATCATAGGCAGCAGAATAGTGATGAAGCTAACAGTAGGGATTTGTCTTTGTCACAAAATCACAAGTGCACAGGTAGGTGGATCCAATATTGAATTCAGGTGCTCAATGATGTCAGGGTAAGCTCCCAGCATCAACGAGAGGAAAAAAATCCTCTCTTCGCTCTTGTGCTTTATATCAGGGAGGAAAAGAGTGTCTCAGAAATCAACTATGAGACTCTTGCGTGAACCCTTGGGCAGAACAGGCCGAATTGCAAGGGACATGGGGCAGTTTCATGTCCAACTGGTCCTGAAGGAGGTGCCTCAGCCCAGGAGGAGGTGGTGAGGGGGAAGGGCAGTGGGGATGTGTCTGATGGTGAGCTTCCTGTTTCTACTGGGATCACTAATGGCCCCGTACATTTCTTCTGTGTGGACTTGTGGAGGAAAGGTGACCCGAGATTCAGGGATGACAGTTTCTTCACAACGGTTTCCTAGTGTCTTGAAGTTCCCTGTCTCATAGGGTCTTCATTATCCACATATAACTTGTTAGACGTATATGTTTTTATTGATCTCAGAGAGAGGAAGGGAAAGGGAACAAAGATAGCGGGAGAGAGGTGGAAAGAGTGAGGGGGGGAGAGGAGGCTGGGGAAGGGGAGAGAGAAACATCAATGATGAGAGAGCATCATCGGTCACATATCCCCTAGCGCGCAACCACGGTACGGGCCGGACTGGGAATGAAACGGGGATCCCTTCGTTCTCGGGTCGACGCTCCAGCACTGAGCCATGCCAGCCCGGCAGCCACATATCACTTTAAAATGAAACTTTTATTAATTCAAATTTAGTAAGACTTAAAATTCAGGGAGACATTTAGGTGTCTCTTGTTGGATACCTGAGGAGTGTTGTTTTGGTGTGTTGACCAGCTGGTTTGCCTTGAAAGCAAATATGAAATGAAAGAAAGGAAATGTGTCTCCCCTCAGTGCAAGAGTGTTCTCATGAGAACGATGAGCTTTGGATGGTTGGGCCACCGCACTGAATGGATCCGTCTTGCACAGCGTGCCTCCTTTTGCAATACTCACCAGTGGCATTCCTTTGTCCTTTTCTGCTTAGAATTTTCTGACATGATGGTTTTCATTTAATTATAGATTGTTGCAGTGGTGGTGTCAGTGAACTATGGCCTTCCGGTAGAACCAGGGCTGTGTACCTTGTTTCCGTACCGTCCTGTTCCAGTGGAACCATTGCCTCTTCCTAAGCTGAGTTTGACTGGTGAGTTAAATTCTGGGCTCATGGAGGCAGGGAAATGATTAAGGAAGTGTTTAGTGGAGGGAGTTGTGTTGAGTTACCCTGTTGCAACCAAAGCAATGGTCTTGCGCTTCCTAGTGATTTTAAATACGGTTAAGACCTAGCGTAGTGGTTGTTTCTGGCCAAATAGCAAATCCAGCTAAACAAGGAGGGAAGTAGGATGCCCCCCATTAAGTCAATTTTCCTTTCATGACACCATTGCAAGATACAAATTGGCACTTGGGAAAGTTTCGAAAGATTTGATTGAGTCTGGCCAGTGTCGCCCAGTGGTCGAACCGGGTAGGAGTGCACAGTTGGTTTGATTCCGGGTCAGGGCACAGGCCCGGGTTGCAGACTGGATCACCAATAGGGGTCGTGAAGGAGGCAACCAATCAATGCTTCTGTCTCATCGTTTACGTTTCTGTCTCGCCCTTTCTAACTCCCTGAAGTCAAAAAAGTGCATTTTTAAAATATAGATTGAGTCTAGCCCCGGCTGATGTGGCTCATTAGATGGGCCATCTATCCCTTGCACTGAAAGGTTTCCGGATCAGTTCCCAGGGAGGGCACATGGCAGGGTTCTGCGGTTATTTCCATGTCGGGGGTGGGCAGGAGGCGGCTGATGCGCCTCTCCTCTATGTTTCTCTGCCTCTCCCTTCCTCTCTCTACTGTCTATCTGTCTATTGGAGGTATGATCCTTGTGTCAACCAGAACCTATACATGAAGCAAAATGGAAAATGAGAAGAAACTGTCACTTCTAGTAGTTTCACTTCTGACAGTTCATTTTGGTGTATATTTATCCAGATTTTATTTCCCCATTTTATCAGTGTATACATAGTAATCAGAAAAAGATTAAATGTTTCAAAACTTATTTTAAAACTGTATTATACAGTGAGCATCCTTCCATGTCGGCATATATGGGTACATATGTGTGTGTGTGTGTGTGTGTGTGTGTGTGTGTATGGGATTCCGTATAGGTACAAGAGTAGACATGGTATCCACGTGTTTTAAATCAGCAATTTTTTATTCAAAAAGAGTATTTAACTTAACGGGAAATAGTCTACATAAATAGGTAGGTACTTTTAGAAATTATCATTATTTACTATTGAAAATGTACAGTTGGGATGTATTCCTCTGAATTATTTAAGATAATCGCCTAGAACTCTTCTGACAGCAAGAGAGAAGGCTTCTAGCACAGCCAGTAGGTGGCTCCATAATGGCTTCAGGTACTGCCTCGGGCGAGGCCAGGCCAGGGCAGGGCCTGTCCTTGGACCAGGCTCTGGCCCCTGAGCGGGCCCTTTCTTTGTCTCGGGAGAGCTCTGGAGCTCAGGGCGTGGACCTGGAGCAGGAGAGAGAGACAGATTGACTCACACACCTGGCTTTTCTGTGACTTTGCGCAGACAGGCAAGAGGCCCACCGCCTTTAAGGGAGCTCCAGCCCGTGAGCCTGCCCTCCCCAGATGATCTGCCCAGATGATCTGTGCCCCTCACCTTGTGGAGTTGCCTCGGTGGGCTCCAGATGCTGCAGCTCCAACCATTGACTTTGGGCGTGGCCCACCAGGTGTGAGGCAGGGGAGTTGACGGGCACCAAGGCCTGCTCTGCCTCGAAACAGGCGATAGGAAGGGGCTGTCCCAAACCCTGGACCTGGTCCAGCCAGGTCCCCACCATCGCAGCAAAGGCCCTGGGGAGAGGCAGGTGGGCAGCAGAGTCTGAGTCCTGGTCTTTCCTTCCGCTCTGCCCTCCCATGGCACAATTGCTTAGATCGGAGCCTCTGTGCAGGCCCCCCTTGCCCACCCAGGGCACAGCCCCATGCCACCCCCGGCCCCTGTGTGGCTGTCCTGGTTGTAGCAGGTGTGGGACCCATATCCAGCAGGTTCAACACGGAGTCTGTGTGAGACTCTTCTTCCCACTGGCGGCTCTCCTGAAGGTCCAGTGCACTGCCCAGCCCCACCCTCCAGGCCCTGGGCATCTGGGCTGAGGACTGAGACAGACTTGTGAGCAGCCTGCTCACCACAGTCCTATTCTGAGCCTGGCCACGGTGGTCAGGGGAGATGGATATGGAGAGGGGCAGGCAGCGCGGGGTGGGTCTCTGGGGGGGAGGGGACTCTGAGGGACAACTCAGCCCAGCGTCCCCTCTGGGTCTACAAGGCCCGGGACCCCACCCACTGTCGTCTTTGACTCCTGTCCTCCTGGAATAGAAGACTCCAGAGCTCAGGCCTTTCTTGGGAATCAGATGATGTGTAAGATTAGGGTTCTGCCAGGCACCCTCCCCCCCACAAACAGAGTACCCACTATGCTGACTCTGGGGGCCCTCTTTCCGGACCCAGAGACCACTCACTTTATGACTTGGTCTTGCGCTGTGTCACCCCGGTCATTGTAAGGAGGGGTGCCTCCAGATGGAGAAAACGCTCTGATGGCATCAGCCCTGATGGATGGTGGACACGACCTGCGAATGATGGACAGCGTGACTGCTGGACCCATTGCCCAGAACTGTGGCCCAGGGATTGTGTCTGCTTCATTCCTCGAGTCAGGCTAAGTGGCTCCAAAAGTGCATGCACATTGTCGAGTAAAGAAACTCCAACCAGAAGCATGCCATACATCTGAGTGGGCCTGGGCCCCTGCTCTCCCCAGAAATCCCCAGTGTGGCTACACCAAGGACCAGGACCGGCTAGGTGACATCTCACACTGCTTAACAGGTTGCTTTCCATGTGCTTTTCCACCCTCCGATGCCACAGGCCACTGATGGGTGTGTCAGAGTTCTTTCCGTGGGACAGAGTGAAAGAATTGCCACCAACAACCGCCGCACGTCCAGCTACCCTGTCTGCAGAGCCAGGGAGCAGGTGAGACCTGCCATGGCTTGTCCCCATAGCAGTGCTATGAGGTTGACCAAGCAGCAGCCCACATTTCAGAGGAGCATCCTGAGACTCGGGAAGATGTGGTGACGTTTCAGCCTCAGAGCTAGCAGTGGGCAGAGTCACGAGTGTGTGCTCACCTAGTGAAAAGCTCGTCCAGGAACCGCTGGGCTCTGGAGAGGGCCAGCGTGGAGACATGGGGGACGATTCCCCCCGGGAAAGCTGGTACCATGGCCATGGCCACCTTCTCCGAGGTGCCTTCCTGGAGGGCCCGCATCCTGCAGGACTCATGCAGGTTACCAGTTTGCTCAGCTACACACTGGGTGGGAGAAGGAAGGACATCCATGTCAGCGGCATGACCGTGAATCCCACAAGGATGGAGGATTGGAGCTCGCTCGGGAGGTCCCAGCCCCACTAGGACGTGTGCAAGTGGCGGGTCAGGAGTGCCCGGCTGGACAGGGTTCTCGGTCTTCAAAGTGCCACTGCAGTTCCGTGCATGTTCATACAATTGACACCTTCTCGGCATGTTTTTTCCTTCCCCCCTTCCCTTTAGCTGAGGATCAACAAACCTCCTTGTAGGAATAGTTTAAATGAAGAGCCCGGGCCCTGTGAGTCCTCAAGAAACGTCCTCGTTATACAGATGAGGACACAGAGGCTTAGGAAATATCAAATGTCTGCTCAAGGGCATGCAGGTCAGAACTGGGAACTGTCCTGCATGACATTCCCTGTCAGGTACCCGAGACTTACCTGCTACTGACATGGGTGGAAAGGGTGTGGGAACCTTGTCGTTCCCCAGCGTGGAAACAGTGTACAGGGTAGATATGGCCTATGAATGCCTTTGACTTCAAAAGAGAAAGTTATGTTTTATCCTTTTACAGGAAAGGGCATTTTAAGACCCTCATTATGGAGATCGCAGATTCCGCAAGGTGGCAAATGCCTGGAGACTGCAGATGGGAGAAAGGCGATCAGGGGGCAGGAATCTGACCAGAGGACTCGGGGAGGAGGAGCTAATCCATGTGGTGGGTGAAAAGTGACAGGTGCCTCACTGTCCCCCTGAGGCCATTGCCAGGGAAGGAACACTGTGTTTGAGTTGGACAACTTGACGTCGGCCAGGTGAAAATTTCAATGAGTGAGATTTCCCGGGCCAGGCTGGGAGCAAGGCAGCAGCCATCATCAGAAACTGCTGTTGGCAACGTCCCTGCCACAGCCCTTTGGGTTTGGAATCTGCCTGCAGCCGTTCAAATTGTACATGTGCTCGTCCTTCCACCAGCAGTGGGCGTCCATCAGCCAGCCGGGGACATTCCATGTACTGTGCTCTGACTCGTGTACCCCTAATCCCATGACTTTGCAACCCCTAGAACTTGATCATGTGTCTGCATTTGAGTTTTAGTCTTCAAGCAAGTCATTCGGGTGACGTGAATTTAGTGGTGTGGGTCTTCATCTAATCTGAACAGTGTCCTTAGAAGAGGAGGGGAGGGCACGTGGCAGTGCAGAGGGGAGTCCATGTGACACACAGAGAGAAGACAGCCATCTACAAGCTGAGGAGCAACGCCCTCAGGAGATACCAGCCCCGCTGACAGCACCACCTCTCACTTCTAGCCTCGGGAATTGTGAGAAAATGAATGTCTGCTGTGAACACCACCCAGTGTGGTCCTATGTTATGGCAGCCCAAGCAAGCAACCTAACACAGTCCATTCCGACACACATCAGTGTTCTGGGCAGCACTGCTGACATGGCAGCTGAACTGCATTAGGCCCATGTCCAACGCCACTGAAAGGCTGCATCGCTGGGCAAACGACCTCCCCGATTGGACCAGGTCTGCAAGGACAGTGGAGCTGAGTGCTCCAGAGGATACGTGGCAAGTGTAGGTTAAGCAACACAAACAGCGAAAGGCCGGAGTGCTCATGGTCCACTGTGAAGTCAGACAACATTTCTGTCTCAGATATTTCTACAAATATGTGAGGAGCGTCTCTCTACCGTCCCCTGTAGCTGGAGGGGGGCGTGGGGATCCGCATTTCTTTTTCTTGGGGCTGTGGGACACTATGGAGAGTCCTGGGAGGGTGCCCGGGGAGTCCCCAGATTTGAGTGTGGGTTGCGGGCAATGCCAGGTGGTGTTGGGCTTATGGGTGTAGAGACCCTCAAGGCCAGCACTCACCTCAGACAGGCACTGGTCTGTGTCTTCAGCCTAGTGCACCTGCACCCTGACCCCGTAGGTGGTGTAGTTGGGTCCATGGGCCAGCACCTCAATGATGTCCTCCTTGGAGCTCTGCTAAGACAGAGTGGGTACTGAGCCAGGAGGCATCAGGAACCTTCCACCCAATCTGTGGTCCTGTGTCATGGCAGACGTAGTCTATGAGGACACAGTGAGGATGTTCCTGGCAACCCTGCTGAGCTAGCAAGAATTGATTTGTGTCAAGGTGTAGCCACAGGGAAAGCCTGAATCACTGATGCGAAATCTGTCCTTGTTGGGATGATATGGAGTTGGGTAAGGCCAGAGCTCCTGACCTGGCTGCCCTGCAATGGTTTGTCGTCCTCTGTCTGAGGTGATAGGTTGCACAGAATAGTATTCCACACCTTAATCCTTTCCTACGCCCCTAACACCCCCCACCCTCCCGCTTCCCCCCTCTTTCTTTTTTTCTTTCTTTTTTTTTAATACACAGCATTCTCCAGTTGGATGATGTGTAAGGCTTGGAGAAGGTCTACAAGGACAGTCGGGCTGGGGCTGGTCCACAGGATACTTGGGGAAGGGAGTTCATCAGTTGAAAGGAGCATGAGGCAAAGACAGCAACAAATGCTTCCTCTCTGATCCCAACAAGCACTTGAAGAAAGACTGCTTTTCTCCCCTACAAGGGACCTGGTCAGGAGGATTGAAGGTACAGATCACTTTGGGAGTGGGCCTGTGAGAACTTTGAGGCCCCAGATTTGAGCCTGACTTCTGGTCCCACCCCAGTCACCTCAGGGTCCTGGGTGTGGGCCAGCTCTCACCTCAGTTTGGCACTGGACGGTTTCCCTGTCCTGACGCACTTGTCCTTTGTACCCGTTGAGGGCATAAGTGAACCTGTCAGCCAGCTCCTCTACGCTGCCCTCGTTGGAGCTCTGCAAAGACACAGCCCGATACCAGGCCAGGAAGCATCAGGGGCCCGGGCATTACCAGTGGGGAAGATGCCCATCACCCACTCTGCTCCCCAGATCAGGCAGAGAGGGGCATCTGCAAAGACCTCCAGGCAGGGAGTGAAGTTGATGACCGCTTGAGCACCCCTGCCATTCACAAGTGGGTAGCGGAGCTCCGACCCCAGCACTCAGCTTCCCTTCCTGTGAGCCATGACCTGGGCAGTGAACATGACACACCCTCCTACACCCTCCAGGCTTCTGACACTTACCAACCCGCTCCTGAGCCCGGGATGAGCATCCCTCATCCCCCGCTATCTTCCCCTCACCATTCTGGGGACACACACACACACCCCCACACACACACACTCACACCCCAATGGGATGAGATGAGTGGTAAGAGGTGTGGGGCTAACCCCTGGTGTGACCCCCAGTTGGCGTTTGACCTGATACGGCCTGGCCTCGGTTACCTGTGTGTGCCTCGTGCCAGAGGGCGAGGGGTATCGGTGGTGGCGCTTGCGCCTGTTTCTGCAGCAAGAGAAACTTCTCTCACCCTGGGCTTTCTTCTGCCCAGGGCGTCGGAAGCACGGGAAGCAAAAGAGACACATCCTGGTCTCCTGACCTTCTCCACTCAAGTGACCTGGAAAGGCAGTTGTGTCTAGAATGTGGGTACCTGGTTACCACGGTGCCCATTTCTGTTGGGGATCTGTCCCCAGGGAAGTGAGGTCACCCCTTCAAGGTTCCATGAGCTGTGCCCCTTCCTCCAATCAGAGCCACCGGAAGGCTCCTCAGGGCTGCTGACCTCTCACCTTCTGGCCCATGTTATCTCCATACCTGTATACAAGCATCCAACACAGCCCTCCCCCCGAGCTCCCTGGGAAGAACAAGAAATGAGTCCCAAATCCTTAGCGTGTCCGTCCAGGCCGTCCATGATCTGACCTTAGCTTCTTTGGCAGTCTTGTCTCTCCTTCACCCATTTTCTGTGGTCACACTGTGAGATCCTGATTGGCATCACACTCTCCCAGCCCAGCTTAGAGCTGTGTCATGCCTGTTTCCCAAGATTATGGGAGAAAGCCGAGTTCACACCTCCTTTTTCTTAGGTGTTCTGTGCCCTGGGGGAAGCCTCTGTGCCTCTCAGGGCCTCCCCCAGGCTCCCAAACTGCCCTGTGAGGATGATGCTAGACACCATTTCCATAGGAAGTCATCAGGTGCAGATGGGACAAGGCCCCGAACAGCTGTGGGCTGGTGTCCCATGAATCTGGTACACAAACATAGAGGTGGAAGATGACAAGAAGGAGTGGGACACAGCATGAGACACTAGACAAAAGCGCCCTGGGCCCAGCCCGTGATCTCAGGGAAGTCACTGCTCATGTGGGCCTCATTTTCAAGTCTGTACCTTTAAGGGTTGGAAATGACAGGAAATTCCGATATGGTCACTCACTGGCCTACAACCTCACCGTGGTCTCTTGTTAAACTTAGCCTCGGACAAGTGCCTCATGTGGGCCCAAGCGTTAGGGGCCTTCACAGTGGCTTCGAGGGAGTCCAGCCTCCTGGTGGGAACATCCTTGTGTGTCCTCTGAGTGCTCAGTAACTGGCTTCTGAACAACATAGAGGACGGCCCAGCTGATGGGGTGTCAGGTCCTGTCACTTGTCTTGTACTCTCGTTCTTGAGGTCCCTTCCTTCCTCCCAGCATCTCTCTCGCTTGCTCTGTGTGTGTGCGTCTCTGTCTGTGCCACTGACCTGTTGTTCTGTCTTGAAGCTGAGTCCACACCCTTTTGCTTACCACTTTAGTACACCTTGGTTTTGGTAAGTTCTCCACTTTGTTCTGAGAGTGTCTTGGTCGGAGAAAAGATACGGCATATTGTGCTACTTTATTGTAACTTCTAGACATAACCTGTCAAGTCCCATGAGTGGGATAGATTTCAACCTTGACATCCTGATACAACGATTCTAGTGTGAAGCCCTCAAGGTTAGCACCAAGAGTACTAAGCCACATTGACTTCAGGGCCCCCGGATACCAGGTGTTCTCTGTGACCTGTCAACTCCTGAATCGCCGGGTCCCTAAGCATTCTCTGCCAGCAGCCCGAAGGATCTTTTGAAAATGTAAATATAATCCTGTCTCTTATGAAAACTAACAGTGGTCTCCGATGGCCTTTAGAAATGAGTCCCAAATCCTTAGCGTGTCCTTCCAGGCCCTCCATGATCTGACC